ACCGTTTAAAAACTTTTATCCAACGGATGTTAAGCTAGGATCATCGCGTCCCATTGCATTTCGGCAATTTATTCGTAACGAAGCAAGGTTAACGAAAAATCCATCTTTAAAGGAAGAGTATGACAAGGTTGTTCAAGAATATTTGGATCTAGGGCACATGGAGAAAGTAGAGGCTCCAAGTTTTGAACGTTCTCCTAGTCATTTCTACCTTCCTCATTATGCAGTCTTGAAACCGGAAAGTACTTCCACGAAATTAAGGGTAGTTTTCAACGCGTCAAGCAATTCTTCGAACGGAGTTTGTCTTAACGACATTTTACATGTAGGCCCAACCCTTCAAGCCGATTTGACCTTGCTACTGATACGATGGCGGATGTATAAATACGTGTTTAATAGTGACATCCAAAAAATGTACAGGCAAATTTTAGTCAACCCGTCTCATAGGCCCTATCAAAGGATTCTTTTTAGAAAGGATCCACATAGTAGTATACAAGATTTTCAGTTAAGGACGGTAACGTTTGGAGTTAATTGTGCGCCATACTTGGCAATTAGGTCTCTTCGGCAGTTAGCTCAGGATTCTCATGATACACATCCACTAGCGGCTCAGATTTTACGAAATTCTATATATGTAGATGACGTTTTAGCGGGATTTCACGATGTGTCCACAGCTTTACAGGCACGAGACCAGCTGATAGAAGCACTTGATAGTGCAGGATTTTCTTTGAGGAAATGGTCTTCAAATACAAAGGAAATCCTCATGGATCTTTCTCATGAGTATTTATTAAAGATAGAATTTTTAACTTTAGATGATACAAGCACAACAAAAGCACTAGGGATTAGATGGAATGCTAGATTAGACCATTTTTTCTTTAGCGTTCAGACCCTCCCTTCAAAGGATAGCTACACTAAACGAGAAGTGTTGTCAACGATAGCGAAACTTTTTGACCCAGCTGGTTGGCTAGCTCCGGTGGTGGTCGTAGCTAAAATAGTGATGCAACAAATTTGGTCAGATGGTACTCTCTGGGATCAGCCTATAAGTTCTCAAACACTTTTTAAATGGAAAACCTTTGTAGAAAGTTATAGGTATATCGATGTCATAAAAAATTCCGCGTTGGGTGAATTTCACCATTGAGTCACCATTCGAAGTCCATGACTTTTGCGACGCGTCGGAAAAGGCATACGCGGGGGTGATATATGTGCGGGTAGAAAACCACGGTACAGTGTCGTCACACCTTTTATTAGCAAAAACTAAAGCTGCACCAATAAAAACTATTTCGCTTCCTCGTTTGGAGTTGTGTGGGGCGGTTCTAATTGTCGATATGCTTAGGTCTCTTCTAAATGAACTTCCTTTCAAGGTGGAAAACATATTTTGCTGGACAGACTCAACCATCGTTCTCTCGTGGCTCAAAAAGCGGCCCTGCTCCTGGACCACCTATGTCGCAAATCGAGTAGCAAAGATACAGGAATTAGTCGGATTTAGGCATTGGAATCACGTGGACTCGAAGGATAATCCAGCAGATCTTGGCAGCAGAGGAGCATACCCTCAGGACTTATGCGCAAGCGAGTTGTGGTGGTACAGCCCTTCCTGGTTAGGTAAAGATGCAGGGCAATGGCCATCAATGGATGACGACCTGGACGATATCACGATCGAAGCAAGGAAAATAAAGGCGCACGCTTCGCTTGTGTCAAACCATGAGGATCCCTTAGAAAGATTTTCATCTTTTCCGCGCGCACTGCGTGTTTTAGCTTACGTCTTCCGGTTTTACAACAGGACTAACCGGCACACTCGAAGATTCCACTCATATCGATCACTAGCGGTTTCGGGAGAGGAAATCTCGAAAATTCGTAATCGGCTTATAATTCTGGCACAGATGAAGCATTTTTTGGAAGAACAGAGATGTCTGACTTCAAAAACTCCAATTTCGCCGAAAAGCAAAATTTTAACCTTGAATCCCTTCTTACACTGTCAGGGTATAATGAGAGTCAATGGTCGACTCGCAAATTCGCTTATTTTATCTTATAATGAAAAACATCTAAATTCTAGGCCGATATCGCCCAATTCCAACGACGCCGCAGATTGTGCAGCCCTCAAACCTGGTCACTTTCTCACGGGTGGTCCCATACTTTCTCCCCCCGAACCCTCCATAGAAGCAAACCCAGTCTTGATAATTAATCGGTGGCAAAAAAAAATGCGTGTGTAACACCGTACACATGATAGAAGTGAAACTTC